TTTCTTCTCTATCTAGGTGTTCAGGTAGGATAAGGTATTTTACACAACCATATACAATCCAATTTCTTTTTTTTTCAGATTTTTTTTTCAGCTTCTAGGTAAAACATAGAGCGCCTCTAAGACTTTAACATCTTTTCAGAATGTCCCACATTCATGGCTTCCCCTTCGTATTTAAAACATACATGTGTTTATTTTTCCACCCACAGGCTCGTTTTAGACTTTTATTTTTCCAGCCACAGGCTCATTTTAGACTAAGTTCCATTACTAGGCATAGTATTAGGCAGCTTACAAGGAAGGTCTTTCAGGGTGTGCCAAGCTTTTTCAAAACGGTCTTTTGCATGATATAGAGGCACATGCGGGAACCACAGAACCATGGTTAATTTTTCCTGAACGGCCCTCTGAATACCAGAAAAGGGGGTCCCTAGTCACACCTTTTCACCAGTTTTTCAATCAAAGTCTATTTGTAAGGGTTACTGACGGTCCTAATCATGAATATGGTACTAATTATTCATGCTAACTCCATTTTGCGCGAATTTGGAAACGTCAACTCGAAATGCAAAAATTTGTCACCACGAGGAATCGAACTAGGGACCCCTTTTCTGGTATTCAGAGGGCCGTTCAGGAAAAATGAACCATGGTTCTGTGGTTCCCACATGTGCCCCAATGTCATGCAAGAAACCATTTTGAAAAAGCTTGGCACACCCTGAACGACCTCCTTGTAAGTGGCAAGCGACAAAGACTTGTGAATCTCTAACAAGTGTAGCTACAGCTCAAGAAGAATGTCCGTTTCATAACAGCCAGATACCATATGTTTCGAAGATGATGCAACTCCAGATATTTGATTCAGATGAGAGCTCTCGCTGAATCTACAGCAGTGCATAATGATTAGAGTCCTCTGGAATGCCATCTGTTCCCTCTTACTCAGCAGTCCTTTGCGGACGAAAATGCGATTCGGCAAAGCACATCAACCGAAATGTTCCGCTTTAAGCTGAGAGGCTTCTGGAAGTAACGCGCCAAATTTTTCACGAGGCATTGGTTGCTCGTTCAAAAAGTGTAATAGTGAGAGATAGCGATGGTCAATATATTGATTAAAAATATATTCTTGTCCTCAAAATAATGGATACTCAAAAGGGAATTCGAAATATAGACAAGTTCGCAAGAGCTCCAGGAGCTGCTCCACTGTAATCGCTGAGCAAATGTGAAGAGTGTCCCTGTCAAAAATCGTTAGCTCACAGTAACAGAATTAGAGTAGTCAGCATCTTCTTCTTTAAACCATAACCCTAACAGCTCGCCATTCTTCTCAAGCACCCAGGCATTTCTGATTTGTAGCAACTTGACCCACACAACAGTTTCTACAGTAATCAAGAGAAAAGGTAAAACTCTTCTTCCAATAAAATGATATATTTCATATTCAGGTGTCGATACCAGGCCTCACCTTGCTTATACCGATAGTCGCTCTGATGTATATTTTTGGGAGTTCAGGCAACACAGGAAGAGGTATATTTGTAGCTGGAGCAATTTGTTACGACTAAGTTTGATAGCAACGTCTAGACTTTAAATAATGGGTTTCAAAGGCACACCCCACGATTATGTCACTGGAGTGAAGCCCACCCGCGAAAGGTAGAGCCTTTGCAAGCACAAAGCATGCATTCGTTTCGCCGCAAAAACTGCCAGCAGACGCTTAAGGCGCAAGGATGCTTACGGATTTCCAAGTAGCACACGGGGTTCTACCAAGAATGCCGCCATGGGCCAAGGTTCTATCCAAGAGGCCCCCATATCCATTGTGATGAATGATTTCTTGTTTTCCTTACTGGTCCACTTCGCACCTCAGTGCGGCGAAATGATTACACCAGTTTCATCGTAGGGTGTGCGTTCAAGCTGGAGCAACACCTTTTTGTACTATTATAATTATTATAATTAAGCTACGCTAAGCCTCACATTTTGCATGTCTTCTCTTCAGCAAATTTTGTTGATGAGTTCTTGCAAGCTTTATTGGTGAGCTTTCGCTGTTCCAACACCTTCGTCAGACCTATAACAAGTGACACGCATATTACAATCGCAGAAACCTTACTCATCTAAACAAATACGACTAAACGACTAACCAGGCTGCTACTTTCAATTGAAGAAGAATCTGCAAAAACATTTTCATAACGCTGCAAAGCTAAACTAGAATCCCAACAATAGACTACTAATAAAGAGATGACCACCTTAACCACAGAACAGTCGCTAGCGAAATGAAACCATGTAATTCTGTGGCGGATCTATAAGTGCAGTGAGTGTTTCTACACATACTTGTAGATAGCAGCAAGCCAGTCGGCTAATACAGTTTTGAAATATTAACTGAACATGCACAAGTCACAATTAAATTATTCAAACCATTCGAGCTTAAAAGGGGCGCTAGGCGCCGAAACCATAACCGGATGCGCTCAATATCCACTGTCAGTGGGTGTCCGAATGGTTGGTCTTCAAGGCTGTAGCAGTCATGGCAAAACTTCCGAACCACTTTCGGCTTATCCTTTGCTACAACGTGTCTAGATCTTCAGCTGCATAAATGTGCCGAGAGTCCTCTCTCGCTGAGCGCCACTAACACAACTCTTAAAGCAGACGAGTAGTGGCGATCGAATTTTTGATATAAAGAATACAGAATTTGCCACATATTCCTTTGCTGTGGAGCAACCCGAACATTTTTTGAGGAAGATGGTGCGGGTAGGAGGAAATCAGCACTTACTTATGACTCAGCCTGATAGAA